CCGCCCCCCCCCCGCTGCTCTGTGTTCATCCCTGTCCATCCATGTCACATCTCATTCACTCTTCATCTCCTTTATTACCCATGAGGTCGGCAGTTCCCGGCTCCTGCTGTGTCTCTCAGTGTCCATTCACCTGGCTGGAGCCACCATCTTTGTGACCTTTGTTATCTCAAAGGTTGGCAGTTCACAGCCTCTTGTCTCATAGCTCAGTCTGCATTTCAATCTGCAGCCTGCAAGCCAAGCCACCTGGACCGATGTATTCCTCAACAAGGACATGAAATGCTGTGTTTGCATGCACTGTTTAATTTAAAGTTCAGTCTTGTAACAAAGCACAACTGAGACCCAAAACGTTCTGAAAGTTAGATATTAACTATTAAATTAATTAAAATTAAGCTAGAATTAAGCCCCAGAAGTTTTGATGATGATGATCTGTCAAAAGGAGTTACTGTATGGTAACAGAATTAGGTTTGCCCTGTTTCTCCTGTTCCCTGCTGATGTTGCACACACCAGACTGTACAGTATGTACAGTTTTCTGAGCCATGTGTCTGGTGGGACAGGGGTTCCAGATCTCCTCACCAAGCCGGAGCAGAGGGCAACAGCTCCCCAGAGGCATTTTGCTGCCGAGTGCCCAGAAGATGCCTGGCCGTGCAGGCACACATGATGCTCTGCCTATTTTTGTGAGAGCAGCTGTGTCCCAGGAGACAAATGCCTGACTTCTTTGTCGGGGTGGCAGCACACAGGCAGGAGACGACAAAGGCCGTTTATGGCAGCCTCCATTTTGTACCAGGGGAGCCCGAGGTGCAGTTGCTTCTTCCTTGAGGCTAAATTTAGTCCTTCTGTTTCTGCACATCCCTGAGCAGCAGGATCTTTGTTTCTGCCCTTCGGTGCTGCTGACTCTGGTTTCAGAGAGGGGACAAAAATAGTCCTGACTGGTATGCCAGGCCAAGCATTTTTGCACTCACTATCTCTGCAGTGATCCTGGACTATTTTAGGGCAGGGGACGGCTCCAAAATGCTCTGAAAGCCCTCCCCCTCTTACTCCAGTCCCAGCAGCGCTGGGTTCACCCAACAGACTGCTCCCTGCCTGGTGAGTTAAAACACCACAAGCCTCTCTTTTTCTTGGAGTGGTCACAGGTTGGTGCCCTGTTGCAAAATCTCAGACCTGACCCATTCTGCCACTGTGAAGAAATCTGCCCCCCATTAGCAGTGCAGTGGGTTGGTAGCTGTGACCAGCCATGCAGTGCCATCAACCCTGTCCACTGCCCACGCCTTCCTGGGATGCAGGCAGCTCCATCAGAGAAGGGGTTATAGCTTGCCCAGTGATCACCATGGGCAATGGAACGGGCAGTGCCAGGGAGTCCACTACATTCAGAGCTGGGCTGGAGCTGCATCACCTACCTTAGGAAAAGGCCATGAGCAGGCAGCTGGGATGGCTACTTTGCATTACTAACTGGACCTGTTGATTTTATTTGCACCTTTGAATTGTAGGGCAAAG